ACTCGATCCCCCGCAAAACCCGAACCCCAACCTCTCGCCCATGAAGCGTCACGCTTACCACTACACCAAGCCGCCGTTGAGGAGTGAGCTGCTTCTATGTAAGTTTGTTTAGTGTCACCTATCTAATCCTTGGCAGATTTGGAAAGCGGATTTGAATTCAGCGCCCAGAAACACGTTTAGCAGTAGCGGTTTACAGAGTTTTATTACCATATAGAATAGAGAAACCCGATAGTCATTAAGATGCGATTCGTAAGATGTAAAAACATTCTTTTGGTCTTTTTTTGAATTTGCACTCATCTGTGATACCAGACAACATTTAGAGAAGCGACGTAGTTGTTTGATTTTGGGCATCGGGTATGGGTACATTCACCCAGAACTGGATGGACGCGGCAAATCGCGCGGCGAAATTCCTGGCGTTTTAAACGACTTTAGCGAATATCATTGGGTCTCAAATTAGGAGTAGAGTCGATTATTACGATCATCTGACCATACTAATGTACTCTATTTCAGGTTTGCGCCCCAGTGATAGGTGTCAAAGTTGTCCTAAACGCCGCGAATTTCGCCGCGCCTTTGCCGCGTCCATCCAGTTCTGGGTGAATGTATCGTCCCCCTGGGGCATCTCGTCCTTGAAAGGCCATTAAACGCTCGCCGACTGATCAGTTAGGCCCTTTCACATTTTTCACGGAATTACAATACTTCAGGCTAGATTCAGCACATTGAAGAGAGGTCATCAGCTACTATTTGACCTGGTTGTTAAGTGATTCATATGCAACTAATGACTAGAAAAGAAGTCTTGACTAGAATCTAACTATGTATCCTGAGGACACTTCCTAACTTCCGAGATTTCACGGGGTACTCTCGTTTCTACAGGGTGTAACTCATATATATTTTCTCAGGTTCAACGAAGAGGAGGAGAGGAGCAAATCGCATCAAGCTTGAGGAGTTTTGCATAAAGATGTCCAAATTCGTTACGAGCAAGACCATCTGAGTTGTTTATTATTATTTTTAAGATACTTCCTATTAGAAAAATTTGGCTTTTTCACAGTTTATTGGAACTTTTCTGCTGAAATTTCTATTATCTTGCATGGTAACAAAACTCTTTACACCAAAGACCATGAAAATTTTACGTTGAAAAACTAATTCTCTTGGAGTTTAATTTTCTCATTATTCTCATCATTCGCCATCACTCTCATAAGTACGATTAGACTAGTTACGATTGAGGTCACTTCGCACCTCGACGCGAAGTGATCTCAGTCGTTACTAACTTCCCACACCCCGTGCCTAGTCCTTGAGATAACTCTACACTATGTTCTATGCCAACCCAATCCGTGTTTAAAAGGTTTTATTGCCTTTCGTATTATGCTTTCCCTCTGATGATGGACTGTAAAGGCTCACTTCCCGTAGGTGGGTTCATATAATAGCATTGCCCAGATTTCGTGACATGATCGCAAACTCGGGTCCCTTGTCGCTAGTTGAAATCTTGCTGTTCCTTTGTAGTTTGAAAGATCCCTAAGTTCGCAAAGCTCTAATTTTTCCGCTACACTAATGTTAGAACCGGGTGGGCGGTGGCTGCATCACCTGTCACATGTCTGCCGTTGATAATCTATTTCCTCGAGCGGACGCCAGTAACGTCTCCATTCGTCCCTGTCGCGTCAGAGTAGTCTAGTAAATGGTACCCGTACGAGGAACACGGAGCAAAACATTCCTTTCATTTAGAGCTTTACTGAAGTGGTCTGACCAGCGGGCTGAGGGTAGTCCTGGTGTTATTTGACGTCCCGATGAATCCAGTGTGTAACCCAGTTCAACAGTCGTTATTATATCGCACGTGCACGGCCCAGCCCACCTTCGATTACTCCGCATATTCAAAGCATCCCTGATCTTTGTTCGTTGACGGAGCTCAGAACTCTGGATTCCTTTTTGCACTCGTGTGTAGAGGGAAATTCCGAGCATTGTCCTTTCCACAGCGCGTTGAATGACGCTAACTGCATGCTCATGCTAATTTCGTAGAGTCCAAGTCTTTGAGGCTTATGCTAAAGCAGGAAGGCCCGCAGTGTTGAAAAAGTGAGTGCGGAGCCAGCTGTTCCTTGCCTCCTTCACTTCTCCCTCGATGTTCTTAAATGCTTCCCACGCCTCTTCTCTTCAGCCGTTCTTCTCTGTCTAATCTTGGCGTTGAAATCACCGACGATAACCTTGGAAAAAATATGGTCTTCTCTTGATAGCCTCTCTATATTCATATAAAACGCTTGCAGCTCTTGTTTTTTGTAGCTCAATGCTGGTGCTTAGAGAACGAAGATTGGTAGAGCTGGAGTGAGCCACACCTTCTAAATCGCAAACGTCCCATTCGGGTTGTTAGGTTTTCGTACGAATCGAGGTTCATGGCTGAATGCGTATTGAGGTTCATGGCTGAATGCGTATTGAGGGCGACACCTACACCGCTAACGCCTCTACTGTCGCATGTTCCAAGTAACAGTTCTTCTCTAGTCTCGAAAATGGTGTGCAACGCGGGTGCTTACCCGTCTCGGTCAGTACTATGTCGTCGTACTTAATCTTCCTGGCTTGCACCATCAAATCTCCGAGACACAGACACATTGAATGTACAGGTCGCCTTCTCAGACAGCCTGTTAGGGCCCTGTGGTTTCAGCAGGCTCTCCCGAGCGGTCTTACCCAACACTGCCGTATTGTGTTCTCCCTCAGGTTCAGGGGAAAGAGGCCCTTTTCTATTACTGTTTCTGGCATATGCCTACCCATGTTTAGCTTGCTAAGCTCCGACACATGAGGGGCCCACTGGCCGTATGGACATATACGTAAATATATACCTACTATTTATAACGCACCAATGTCTGTGTGTTTGTGTGTGTGTATGTGCGTGTGTGTTTGACGGGAAATTCATAACTGTCTCTCTAGACCAAGAACGTTCAAGTTTGAAGGAGTACTATAGGCTGGATGGAAACACTTATGGTTGGTGGCAGGGCCAGACTCCGCCCATAGGGGCGGGGTTTGTATGAAATAAATATTCGGGCGGAAATTAATAATCCGGTTTCTCTGGACCTAGAACGTTCAAATTTAGTAGGAGTACTGGGGGGAGGGTGGGAACACTTATGTGGGAACACTTATAGTGGGTGGCTCCACCGACAAATGGCGGGGTTTAACAGAAATTCATAACCCCTGTCTCAGTGGACCTAGGACGTTCAAATTTGATAAGAGTACTGGAAGCAGGATGGGAACACTTATGGTGAGTGGGAGGACCGGGCTCCGCCCAGTGGGGGCGGGATTTTCGTGGAACTTGTCAATTTGGCCCTAGAGCATTCCAGCTCGATAGGGTTACAGACGGCAGGGTGGGACACTTATGGTGGGTAGCAGGACCAGACTCCCTCTACAAGGGGCGGTGTTCCCCACAGGAATAGAGCAGGGTGGGAACACCGACGATGGAAGAGGCCTTGGAAAACAAGACCCACTAACCAGTTAGTTTCAACGCCTTTTTTATTTACGGATGACTCTAGCTTTGATTCTTTGATATGTTCCGTTCGAAAAGAGGGTCAAAGGCACCGTCACATAATTTCGGGTAATCCAGATTACGATGAATAATGGAAGACAAGATCGAAACTAGTGCGACTAAGGTGAAGAAACTGCGTGCATCGGTGTTTTCAAAGTGAAAAAAAGGCTGCGAAAAAACGTTAAAAAGGGGGCTGGACGTGAATGGAACCAGAAAAATGAAGAAGGGTGAGGCGTCCGGCCGAGCTAAATAGTGTGTTTCACTGCGCGCGTGTGGGTCCTGGTGCGAAGAACAGGCAATGGTAAGCAAAAATTCATTCACTTATAAGCATAATTAAACAAAAAAANGATCGCGGCAGCAAAAAGAAAAACAGAGGAAAAAAAGAATGGGAGAAAAACATCGCCTCATCACTCACTTTCTTATCGTGAACGCTGCCTTTAAGTGCAGTGTTATGAGCCGAATAAGGCTACTCATCATGGAGAAGAAGGTTGGTTCCGACCAAAAATTTATCCGGCCTTACTGCTGATAATCTCGGTTTCTCATTTAATGGTATATCCGTGGAGAAGGAAAGCTTTATTGATAAAGACATTTGTAATGGCATGGCTCGACAACATTTGTAAGTACCATTCAAGGCTTTGGTTGCCTACGAGTTGAACCTTCAATGGGTCATTATTTTTGATGAAAAGCAACCTCATTTCAAATACATCTTGCATGCCCTACTAGTCCTCTGTCGAATTTTTTGTTCCGCAATTATCATTTGGCCCCAAATGAGGAAGAGTCGATTTGCCGAATATTACAACCCTACCTTAACGAGTAGGGAAGCTCGGCGTCAGCCAGACGCCCCGACTGGTCGAATTATATAAAGAGAATGGCCATATGACTCGCACTGTTCAAGTACTGGCTAAACATCACATAATATATTTATTTACTTATTTTCACGAGTTTCACGTAGTCTCCATGAGTTCGCGATACAAACCTGTACGTGCTTTTCAAAAAAGTTGCAAGAGTAATATAACATTCCGTACCAAATGAACAGAAAGGTGCACAATTCAATATGGAATATTTCATATGGCTTCATCAATATACTCCATTTTCAGGTTCAACAAGTGGTTCATTTCAGATACAAATATGACCATGAGATCAAGAGATACTTTCCGACACAAGGTATCACACTGCTCCGCGAATTAATTAGAAAACTTCTCAAAGAAACAAGATCCATAACTGAAATCTTTTGAAAAAACATAGGTATTATTGACAAGATTTTTGGAGGAAACATTTAGGATAACTAGTTAAAGAAAGAAAAGAGAAAAGGGGTTTGGAAAGCGCACATAAGCGCTGGTGATGTGCATAGACGATAAACAACAAACAAACGAAAAGGAAATCAAAATGAAGAAAATTTGATTAGTACGCGCCGTCGTCGTCACCTGCCCGAGCCAATGACTGAGCAGCCTAAATATGAATGCGATAGGGAACACAACCCTCAACGAAAAAAAGTAAAGCGACAGCCTCACATAATAAAAACTGGGATTACCTTGGTATTGATCCCAGCCAACTTCGGACAATTGGTGATTCTGTGCCCAAGACCAGAACAATAAGCACAACCCTGAAAAGTCAACATGGTAGTTGCGAAGGAGGCGCAAAGGTGCAAAGGTTTGAGCCTTAGGAAGTAGGACGAAAAACGACCACTGGATTGCTGTTGAATTGACTGCCATTCGTTTAGCAAGTACAATACCTGACCTTATCATCGACATTATCGGTCGGAGCTTCCTCAGCCTCACCAGCCAAATCCCGCAAGAAGGCTGGCAATTCCTGACCAGCTTCAACGAGCAACTGCTTCAAATCTTGCATTACTGAGAGATCTGAAGAAGGACAATCGAAGCATACCGAAAAATGCACAGCTGTGAACTTAGTTATTCATTTTGATCAATCAATCGCTGGTCTCTGATTAGAACATATCTTGTTTTGCCCTCTTGATGTTATTATATAGTAATACACTTAGAACAAGGTAAGAACTCACCCGCTTTCCTGTTGATAAAAGTAGTCGCCATGCCACGCTTGCCAGAGCGGCCAGTTCGTCCAATGCGATGAACTGAAAACCCATTTTCAATCTCAACGATGATTGCTGATTGCTTAGACAGGAGCTATACCACACCATAAGAAAACAGATCTCCTTTCTTACCGTAATTTTCAATATCCTCCGGCATATCGTAGTTGATGACATGCTCGATACCCTAAATAGGAAATACCTTTAGAACTTCAAAAAGTATACTGCCGAAACCACCCCTTCTTTACATGAGCACCTGCTTTCTTCTACTCATCTAGGCAATCTTTTTCGCATATTGCATTCGGATATATTCGTTCCGTTTAGCGTGAAGGGAGCATCAGGTACCAATCCTTTTCATGAACATCGTCTTCGAAGTTCAGCCTTGAGCCCATTTTTCCAAAAGCGCTGCCGAAACCGACCAGCATTCAATTTGCGTACTTGGTGTTCGACCTAATGATCATATCGTCTGCATAGCGGAGGCGATGTGGGTACGGGCCGTCTACCCCCACTTCCAAGTCTTACCATTGCACATGGCTCGTACTGTTCTCGAGATCGACGCGGAAAAGCTTGGGTGAGGTATCATCGCCCTGCCGAACCCTTTCTTCACGTTGACCTTGACTTCCTTATAAAATGGCGGTCGTGAAGCTGTCGAAGAGCTCAAAAAGCACGCCTTTCTATCGAGTAGGAGCACCCTATTTCGTCGACAACGACCCCCATATAGCTGACCTCTCCCTCTCGAGTGGCTTCTCGACAGGGCGGAGTGCGGGGTCAGGCTCGCGCTGGCTTCGCTGCTACTTGTACCAACCAATCACTTGGAATTTTGCTCAGGGTGTTGGGAACAGTCGAAATAGCCCACGCTCTAATATTCTCTCTCATCCAAAAAACATAATGAATCACCAGTGTAATTCTTGCTAGCCTTCAAGCACCCGTACTGTTTACCCTGGTTGCTCAAAGCTCCAATCACCGCTTCAGTGTAGACTGTATCAAACACCTTCGAATCGATAAAAGTCAAAGATAACGTTATCGCGATACTTCATAGAGTTTTGTAATATGTTGGCATGAGTGTTCAGTGACAAAAGGAAGTTGTGTTCATTTTAGAATTTTCCAATTTTATCAAATGTAAGAAACATAGTCACCAGAGATATCAGCAACCTCCTCTCATCTTTTATTCGTACCACTTATGCGTTTTGTTCACAAGTCACCAAGCTATGACTCAAAGAAACCATTGACTGCCGTTTGCACAATGAGTTGAACTTTTTACACCCAAAGGGAAAATCGTGAACTGTGCTTTGAAAGGGGCGACGAACGCAGTTGGGATATTGGAAAGCACATAAATGCTTGTCTCGCGGAATGGGTGTGCGAATAAAATTTAAAATCGACTTAAGAACCTCTCGAAAGGTTGGCGAGCTATGGATGAAATTCTGGCCTTGGACGAGACTTGAACCTGTTTTCGTGCTATCTGAGCACCGTGCTCTTATCTCTTACACTACCGTCACCGCGCTTGCCATCGCCTTCTTCACAACGTGCTCCTTGTAGTGTAGGGCATAAAAGGCATGGAATCTCGACAGCACAAGTGCGGGTTGAGTCCAGTCCCACGTAAAAGCTTTGCTCACAATCCTTTCCGCCATCCTTATGAGACTTTTAGATTGCGGCAAAATAACGGCAGTTAATAGAACATCAATTCCAAGATCCGGAATCGGTTAACTGATAAAAGACTCGACTGGGAAGATAGGAACAATGACTTGTACGTCAGCTTGCCACCGCAAATCATTATAGGGAGTACATGATTTTGAACGGAGTCAAACATGGATACACACCCCAAAAGGGATCCATACACGCCAAAAGATTATCCTTGTCCTTTACCTGGAAATCGAGACCCTTTGACGCAACATCCGTTGCAACCAAAACATCTTTCTGACCATGTCGAAACTCGTCTATGCCAATATGCCTATCACGCTGCTCTACAAATAAGGAATTAAATCAACTATACAGATACATATGAATATGCAGCTCAAATCATGCAACAACTCCTTTCTCTGATAAGTAAAAGGTATGAGGGCCTACCTTTTCCACCATGAATTGAGGCTACTTCAACCCCCTTCACCAACAAATATTCGTATATATTGTCGACATCCATTTTCTTCTCGGCGAATATCAGAACTCTGAACGAAACTACGGTTTCGCATAACTACAGATAACCCTAAAGAATCGTATGCAAACTTTGGCGCGGTTTTTTGAAGACAATCCAGCACTCTAGTTAGTTTGTCTTCTGTCCTCACATATTCGATCTCTTGTAATACATTTAACGAAGCAGCACCAGCTCGCCCCACATTTACAACCTAAACTTTTGGTAACATTGAAATAATGGTGCCTTTTAAAGTACAGACGAATAATGGGTTAAGAGGAGTTGAAAGCTTTACTTGAAATAAAGGCAGCTGGTAATACGAACAAACAATGCTAATAAACTTACCACAGGTCGAACTAGAGCTGACTTAGCAAAGTTCTGGATCTTTTTGGGCATCGTGGCAGAAAACAAAAGAGTCTGTCGTTGCGCCTAAGAATTAGGATTACCTACATATCTTGCAGAACTCTCACAGTGAACACTCACTTTGAAGAAAGCAAATATTGATTTTAATTCATCCTCGAAACCCATATCCAACATTCTGTCAGCTTCATCAAGCACTAAGTAGCGACAAATCTGGAAATAACATGCCTGCTGTAGAAGCCAACACGAAGCTTCATGACTGTTGAAGTTTCTTTTGGCTACATTCAATTCAGAAACTGAAAAAGTAAAGTAATTGAGCTGCTTTTGATAAAACTGTTGAACTTTTCAAAGTTTTGATGGGAGCCTTCACGAAATTTGAAATAGTAGTTCAATTTAAGCGGACTTACCTCTAAGTTAAAAATTTTCTTGGTGAGCATGTCTGATAAACGGCCCGGTGTGGCGACGCAGACGTGCACTCCACTACAACTTTGACTTTGCGGCGACTATATCAAGTAGACACAAAAAAAAGTTGAAGAAGACTTTCAGAATTTAGTTCGGTTGATATAAAATTGGAGTCACTCACTCTTTGAAGATCTGGGCTTGTTCTCGAACAGGAACGCCTCCAATGCATAAACCCGCCCTTAGTTTAGGCAAATTGGATTCCTTTTCAATTACTTGAAATATATCCACGATCACATCATAAATCTGTCTGGCTAATTCTCGCTGAAATAGCCATATACTCGCTTGGGTGACACTTCATGTATTGCAACGGTGTTCCTTTTACAACGATTTCTGGGTACCGAAAGTATTAATGCTTCTATAAAGAAAAATCAAAAGGACTTCGAACCCACTGATGGCACAATGACCAGAGCGTAAGGCCCTTCGCCTCGTTCAAATGGCATAATGTACTCCTGCTCCAGACAGAACATTATTAGTGGCAAAGCAAACGTCAATGTTTTTCCGGAACCGGTTGACGCGATACCAATCATGTCACGACCACTGAGGCTGCAACGAGAACCTTATTGCTGGGTTCAATTGAGATAAACGGTAAGTTGTTATCCTAAACACAGTAAGAACTCACGCAACGGGTATTCCTTGAATTTGTATAGCAGTCGGAATATGGATGTCATTATCTTTCAAAGCTCGTAAAATGCACTTAGGGAACTTCATTTCCTAGGAAACAGCACAATACAAACATACATTAGTTTATACCTAAAAGAATCGAAGAGGTTATGAAGAAAAAGTATTGGTGCTCGTCTTCTAGCACCTTAAATAGAATAAGTGAAAATTAAGGTGATCTGCGTATCTATGTTTATTCGTTTCAAATATGAGCATGGACTATGTTCACGCTGTACACCGCGCTAAACTATATTAAAATAATAATGTCATCCAAAAGAAAAGGTAGTCTAAACTCACAACAAAGCTTCCGATAGGTGGTGGACAGTCGGCTCCGTCCACACTTATTCCTTTTCTCTTTCTGTAGGCAACGAAATCTTCCTCCATCTGCTTTCGAATGTGGGAAGGAGGGCGCCAACTGAATAAGTTTACTTCTACATTGCGAAAATTTTTGTATGACTAGACAGTCAAGAGAAAATAGCAAAAAATAAAAACCATTTAAAAGTAAAAACTTTATCTAAAAAGCGGTCTCACATACGATGTTCGAAAGGATTCGGTATATTGTACCCCATGGGCAATTTCCACAGCAGCATGAAGTGCGCTGTTCTGTGTGACGCTTTCGAGCAAGATCTCTTCTTCTATTCTTTGTCTTTCTTTGGGATCCATCTCTGCAATGGAATGGGAGGTATGTACTATAAACAAAATAAGATGCGATGCTCAAGCAACACACACTAGAGCCGCTCACCATCATTTCTCTCCTTGAGCTCCGCATGCTTTTCGAGCAGAGTTTTTCTCGACTCCTCTGTTCTTTTCTCCTCTACTTGTTTTCTCCTTTTTGCTGCGATTTCTTCTTCTTGTTGCGCTGAAGTGGGCGCGAGGACATGCTTCAGCAAAGCACGACGATGCAGCTGAAGAAGAATGTTGCAGAATAATGTGGAATATAATTTTAACCCTGTGCTTGAATCAAATGATAGCATATGCAGGGGAGAACTGACGAATTTGCAACCTGTCATAGAAGGATTCGAGTAGGAGTGAGAACATGCAGACCAGATATGTGCAAGTTGTAAAGTTCTTGCATAGTTTATGCATGCCGCAAGAGACATTAGCGCTTTGTCTGGCGGATCAGCAACCTCCGTGAGCGCGAGAAAAATCCTTCAATGCTACTCTAGTCTGATGTCAGAGAATTGAGAGAGTGTATTCCCACCAACCATTTATATTATCATATTCAAGCGGCTTGGAGGCAAAGGTCTGATATCTACTGCGCCATAACTGAGACCTGCAAAAATTGCAGAAATGTCGGCATCACTGCCGACCCAGCCTGACAAACAGTCTGATTATTAATTCGTGATAGCAGAACGCTTCGAGAACAAAATGCTTCAGAACACGTGATCTCCCTGATTAAAGAAATGCACAATAGGTCCGAGACGGTCATACGTACCCCTAGCTAGTTAACAAAAGCAATAGATGGAAGGTTGGAGCAGGGCAGGATCAGCCGTAGACCCGTTCCCCTTCCCGTCTACAATGGATGTTATCACAAAAGGACTAATGGATGGACCGCTGAAAACCAACTTTTACGCGGATCGCGTCGCTCCTACAGCGGAGGGTTGGAAAGGACTACAAGCAAGCTGCAGAGGTGGCAGAAAGTTCTGACTGACGACGGGTTCAGTGTAATGCTGAAATTACTGTGTAATGCTGATGGTAGATTGACCTGGAGAGCCTATGGAGAGAATGCAGGACTCCCGACATTTCCGATATATGAGATGCAATGGGAGATGGCGGTAGTGTGGACCAGGCTGTGAAGGCTGGAATAACACGACTTGAATGAAGCGAATGCAGTCGACTATAACGGTATCCCCTGCGGCCAACGGTGCTCCAGGACACTCAAAGGTAACGGCGAACTGGATAGTTCCGAGGTCCTTGATGCTCTGTGGCAACCTGTGCTACCATGAAGACGCACCGTTGATATGAGGATGCTCAGATGAGCTCACGGTTGAGCGCGACTGGAAAGACGAGATGGAGACGATTGAGCGATCATGCGAAGACCCCGCTCGGCTAAAAGATGAGAGAGCAGCGAACGTCTCGATGTCCTATGATGAGACGGTTACATAACGAGAAGGCCACAAAATCGTATAAGGAGCAAGGTAAATGAACTCGAGGCTCATGAAGAGCGATCACGAGAAGTCCCTAAGAAAAGCTAGTGGGGCTTTATCAAGAAGGACCTCGCCGAAGCTAACATAACGACGGAAGATGCCGTAGATAGAATGAAGTGGAGACGGCCGAAAAGAACACTGGGATTAACGCTAAGGAGAGGAAGAAGATATAGCTAACAATGATTAATTATCATAAGTAATGACAAAACAACTATTTGACCAAGTGACGGAACACATAATCGTTTCATTTGAAAGAAAGAAGATCCAGCAGATCAACGTGAACCACCTTTTCTTTACGACGCTGAGCAGCTGACAGGAACATCTCGTTACTAAGTTCCTCATCGCCGGAAGAAACATTCAAACCATCCATCCTATTCTTCTGTTCTTCGAGCAGGATTTGCTGCCTCCTTTGCTGAAACAGCAGTTTTCAAGAAACTTCCAAAAATTACGTAAAAAGAGTACCTCATATTTTTTCTTCATCGCTTCAACATCATCCGCCCCACCACCATCTGACTGAACCATATCCTTAACTAATAGGATGCATTAAAGTCTTTTCGGACGGAACAGGATCGTAAAGAAAGAAGTGCTGCCCCAAAATCACAAAATCATAATATCACACAAGAAGAGGTCAGCTGATCTGACCATGTTACTGTTGACCAGCAACTCATCGACTGATCGCAAAAATTCTAATCCCTTCTCAGGAATAGCGAAGGAATTTGCTTAGGACCTTAGGTCTAATGTATGTAGACAATCTATAATAGAATAGCATGTAGCGACCAACATTCAGTACTGACCTAAACATTGGAGTGGTAAGCCGATGCAGTTATACAATCTGTTAGCTATAATCTACGAGCCTCTTGTCAACCCTGGAACATCACCACTCCATCAACAGCTCCCCTAACGTCTCGAGGCGCGAGACCGACTCCGTTTGGTAAAGATGTTAGTAAAGCATTCAGAAGTTGAGAATTGCTGGGCATTATTGGTTGTACCTTTCAATTCTACCTCGTTGTCGAAAACCGATTGCTTGGTTCTTTTATCTCCACTCCTTTGCTTACTGCGATTTTTTGAATGGTCTTTACTGAATTTTCATGGGTGATCATTCTACATAAACTTCCACCCCTACGCGTAACATACAGCCTCCAGATTTTAAGAGTCAAGTTATTCAGGCATAGGGGTCCTGGTAAGGAGGGGGACGAGCGATTCGTGCGATTCTGGGTGCGCGCGGCAAATTGCGCGGCGAAATTCGCGATGNCGCACCGAATTTCGCCGCGCAATTTGTCGCGCGCACTCAGAATCGCACGAATCGCAACACACTACCCCACATACACATTTCTCGTTGTTTCATGGTTATTATTGTTGATCAACACAGATTATCCTTTTGCATAATCATGATCAAGTAGTACTTCCTGAATCTAGTACTTTTATATGGCATACTTAATTAAATGCAAAGTAACGAGAGTGAATGAACCTGCACACTGACCGGGTACTGTATATAACCGCTGCTGATAAACCAAGATGGCACTTGCGACTTACACGAGGATTTTAAGAGGGATTAACAGAGTAACAAAGACTTCTAACCCTTCAAGAATAAAGCTGCAAAAACAGCAAGTCCGTAATTGCGCGTTTGTCCAACACGCGGGAACTACGGGCTGCTCCTGTAGGTGGTCACGGCAGCTCATGCATTTCCAATCGGTTGCGAAAGTGCCTCTGTCGATTGTTTCCTCATCGATTTTTCAGTCTTCGTTGTTCCACCACATTATATACCATTATTTATTGTTACATTTACAGTGAAAGGCAAGAGAAATGCACCGGTTTCGAATTATGAAGTTTTAACGACAAAGCACACGCTTTTGTCGCATTTTCTTTCCACTCTCAACACTGGTCGTCGCCATGAATGTTACTCTTTGCTCTGACTTCTGCTGGCAAACTTCCCTTTGTAGCCATGTGTCCCTGCAGCATTTGATAGTGTGTTCAGCATGGTCAACCTCCTGTTGCGGTTGTGAGCAACGCAGCATTTTATATTTAACATGATCACATCTCAATTCCAATCCTGCACCTGTGCGACGACTGTCGATGGGGTCGGGCTTCTATTGTAACCCCCCAACATGTTTCAAATTGCTGCTACGAGCGACATGTTAAATTTCAGAGTAGGGCGCTGAGCGTCGAGCGTTGCCGGCCACCGGTTGACGCTGGGCACCACAGGCTACAGAAGTGATATTTCTTTCTTTTCTACAATTTTTTGTTTTTTTTGTATCTCCACTTCAAAGCTGGGTAATTTCAGTGTAGTAATATGTGATTCATAGAGCTTCTTTTCAGCTTCATAGTGCTTCTTTTCTGCTTGTTGGGTCTAGAGTTTTGCTTTCTTGCTTGTGCCCTCGTCGTGAATGATTCGCAGTGTCGGCCGGGTTAGGGCATTCCGAAAGAACACAATTCGTACGATGTGAGACACTATGGATGTGGAGGAGCTGTACGCAGCTCTGCTTGGAAAAAATATGCTTCAACGCAGAGGCTGTGAGCAGCAGCGCGAACGCCAACGCGGCCTCGACGCTCCTCGCAAAACGCTTATCGCTGTACTCTGAGGTGCCCGTATTAAATTTTCGTTTCTGTCTCTAGAAATCGTGTTGTGGCACCTGTTCCCGCCTCCGCGCTACTTTACTGAAGTAGCATCCGATTGTCCTTCTTTTAATTTAAGGTTATTTTGTTTACGAAAGTACCGTTAGTGACTGAAATCGAGACATAAAACACGAAATCCGTAAAATGTAAATATAGATAAGAACAAATAATTACATTTAGTAATTCGTCTCGTGAAATGCTAGGGCTTATTGTACCTAAATAAAAGCTTAAATTGAGCAAATAGTAGAGTATTTGGTAAATCCTTAGCGAACTTCATTTAACTGCTCCAACTCGAAAAGGAGGGTTTCTGGGTATGCAGGTTTGTTTCAACAGAACGAAAACTGATTAAGGGCACTCGGCTCTCACAGTAGTCTACTGACTTCTCCACCACCCACCCTGTATTTCTGCCACAACTCCAGTCCCTTTTCAACGCGTCGTATATACGACGGGTGAGAATTTGGGTTTTAGGATGGGGTTAGCCGTGCCGGATTAGTCACGAGCTGAGTTCCTTACTGAATTTTCGTTTCTGTGATTGTTTTAGATCTTGTGGGCGGAATCTGCCTAGTCCTCTACCCCCTCATCTTAAGGAATGCTCAGAATAGAACAGCCCTGTGACCGTCTTATGAAACATGTGAAGATCGAAAGTTTTGCG